CCGCGTGGCCAATTACTCCGCCTAGACGAAGTCTCAGCACGCTGTATTGAATGGGAAGATCATTGCACTTGTCAATAGACTGGGGGCGAGTAAACCATGACTCAAGCAGCTCCCGACTCACGCGGTTGTCACCTCTTACGAGAATTTCGGCCTCGTCAAATTTGAATATGTGGCCGGAACCCGTCGAATGAGCCGCAACTTGAGAGCTGGGCGCGCCAGATGCGTGTTAGGACGTCAGGCATTGGTCTTCTACCACCAGTTCGGGGGATTTACAGGTGACTGGCCAGGCTTGCGCGTGATATGAAGGTCGGATCACAACCAGGACAGGCTAGGATCGAGTCACCATTTTTGGTTGTGGAGGTGATGATTGTGACGTGGGTGGAGATTGACGGGACGCATGAGGCACTGTTAGTGATTGTTGGGGTGAGGTGGGATAGTCGTCGTGATTGGCGCGGGGGTTGCAGCACTGACGATGGAGGTGGTAGTAGGAAGTAGCAGACATAGGGGGTGTGTTTATTTTTGATGCTGATCGTCGCCGCGGTCGTCGTGGAAGTTGCAACAGGGGTGAGGACTGAGGCGTTTTCAGAGATGGTAGGTGGAGTTGTTAGGCTGCTGTTAGATTGGGGCCGAAGATGTTTGACGGGCTGCTTCGTTATGAGAATGTCCGTCTGCAGAGTTAAGATGACAGAGGTGTTTAGGTCTGAGCGTTGTGGGTCGGAGACGTTCGAGATTTGCGGGCCGTTCTTTTGACTTTGACAGCGAAGACACGATCGACCCGTAAATGCTACTGCGCTCTTTAGTGCTCCTCCATGTGCCGGTAGGCCCTGCGTTAGGCCCTCCCAGGTAGGCGTGTCCAGTTCTGGATCTACGTGAAGGCCGTAGTAGGTCGTTTACTTACTTTCACGTGTTGACTATGCCAGCGACCATCAGCTGACCACCAAATCTCGCATGTGGCTCCCCGAAACTAGGCTCTGCTAGCGGCCTCACCCCGGTAACCGGAAGCTAAATCAAGTGAGGCTTGTGTTTACGTGTCCCCACACGCGATAAATCTGCCTCCCCCTTTTACTCTCCCTCTCTTCCCTCTCTTCCCCTTCTTCTTCTTCCTCTTCTTCTTCTCCGATCTTTTTCCACCCCTATCTTCTCCCTTCAGCTCCCTTCTTCTCTCCCTCCCTCCGGGCCTCCTCTTCCCCACTTTCCTCCATCTGTACTCTTCCTCCTTCTCTCTTCATCCACGGCTGATAAGTTCTATGACGAGGCGGAAATGCAATCACGAAGGCCGCCCAGGCTAATGCGTCGTTCACTCACTAAACCTGGTGACCCATAAGGGAGAGTGGCAACTGTCTGGGACGACTAGGCAGCACTCCTAAGGGAGAGCACTGCCTTCGGTTTCGAGGTGAAGGGGGCTGTAAGCCGTGTCGCAAACAAATCAGTGTCCACGAAATCTGCGAGCGGATCGTGGCTCGCAGGTTGCAATAGCTGCGGTCGAAGCCTATAAACAGGAAACAGTACTCCCTTTTTTCTCCCTCCTTCACTCCTTCGCCAGGCTGCTAAGGTGAGTCCGCTCACTCTAACAGTCTGGAATGTTCGTTCCATTTTAGATAATTTCAAAGCAACTGACCGGAACGGAGGACGGCGCTAGTAGCTCGGGAAATGGCGCGCTACAAGGTGGATATTGCTGCAATCGGCAAAGCCCGCACCTCCGAAGAAGGTCACCTAAAAGAGATGAGTGCCGACTGCATCTTCTTCTGGGGTAGCCTTTCGAAGGCAGAACGACGTGATATGGACGTCGCCTTTGACATCCAGAACGACATCGCGGGACGACTGCCCTGTCTGCTGCAGGACATTAACGATTGCCTGATGAGCTTACGCTTGCCTCTTCGGAGATCCAACTTAGCCACCACCATCAACGACTACGTCCCAGCAATAACCGGCTCAGATTAGACGACGATAAAGTTCTACGAAGATCTGCATGCCCTCCTGACGTCTGTGCCAGAGGCGGATAAGCTGATTGTCCGCGGTGACTTCTATGCCCGCGTCGGCACAAACCATATTGCCCGGAAGGAAGTGCTGGGCCCTCATGGAATCGCAGGCTGCAACAACAACTGCCTACTTCTGCGAACCTGCGCTGAACACTGGCTTTTGATGATCAGCACCTTATCCCGCCTGCTGATGCGGAAGAAAGCCACCTGGATGCACCCTAGATCGCGGTGTTAGCAGCCGCTGGACTGTATTCTCGTCTTGGCGACGAGATCGGCAGGACGTGACGGTGGCCAGTGCGATCTACGAGGCCGATGGCTGGGCGTGTCACCGCCTCGTTATCCCTAATCACGCAATCCCGCAGGAGGCCAAAAGTTGAACGATCATCACGTAAGTTGAGCATTGCTTTGTTGTCTTTGCATGTTCACCGTTTGCAATTCAGCAGTCAGCTGACCCAACGGTTGGAAAATCGGTAAGATGGTAGTTGGTAGCCGTGCCCACAGGATCCACAATGACACCGACTGGCTCGATTTCAGTAGCTGTGATTACGTTCTCATTATGCTTCTAAATTTACGCGCGCACTGCCTTACCTGTAGCAGATTCACTGTAGAGGTACTATCCTGGACAGATTGACACCAGTGCCAAAGGCAAGGAGGTTTGCCCCATATCGAGTTTTATTAGAAGAGATAACTTTCGATTGCCTCAGGCTTCATTTCGGCGAGCTTATCCTACTTTTGGCGTCACACTGATTGTGTTGCACCCCTACACGGAAGTCTTTAGCTAAAAAGGCGACAGATTTATCCTGGGGGGTTTATGATTCACACTGCTTCTCATTACGCTTTCAATTGCTTGCGCGCTCAGTATGACTTGCATCAGATTAATTGCATAGGTACCATCTAAGGCCGATTAAACGCGGGTCTCCATTTCGTTGGCTTGGCTTCGTCCTTGCGTCTTTTTATTCCGGACCTCCAGTGCGTTACGGCGTGATCGTATACGGCAGGGCCACCGGCGCGCAGACAGTTTGTCTGCCGATACTCTACCCATTGCATACGTGGTATTGACAGAACGTTGACATCCACCCTCTGCCTTTGCGAACAGCCCGCTTGTATTTCAGTTCTTATTATCTCTGGGAGTGCACGCAATGTGTCCCTGTCTGGATGACTTCCTTGGTCACCTTAACCGCCCCGAGAACGAGGCGGTGCAAAAATGTCTATATAGGCTCATTGCATTGCACCACCACACTGAAGTCCTTTCTGAAAGGCGAGAGATTTATCCCACGGGGGTTTATGATTCGCTCTGCTTCTCTTTATGCTTCTAACTGCATGCGCGCACTGTGTTAGCTGCACCAGATAAATTGCATAGATAATATCTTAGGCGGATTGACACGAGGCTCCTACCGTTGGTTGGCATCGGTCCTCGCATCTTTTTAATCCAAGACCTGCGGTGAAGCCCGCCGTGTTCGTGCACGAAAGGGCAACCAGCGTCCAGACAGGGTAGCTGCCGATAGTCCACCCACTGCATCAGTCGCCTTGACAAGCTGTTGCCCTCCATCCCCCGCCTTTACGGATAGTCGGGTTGTACTTCGTATCAGGGGTTTGGCTGAAAACAGGGACGCCATGAAAACACCGCCATGGTCACTTAGCAATCCTTTTCTTTACTACAACAGCAAGGCGTCTCGTACGCCAGTCAGACCGGGGGTGATTACCTTCCGTCCGTGCGATCCGCGTCGGCTGGAGTTTAGTCCGTTAGCGATCATTTGCGGGGGTTGCTTGCGGTTTTTTTCTATCGCGTTCATCCTTTCTCCAGTACCCCCTTTTTGGATGCTTTCTTTCAGTCGGGTTCCAGCTATGCAGGCGGTCCAGCAACTTACCAAAAACGGCTCTCATCCCATTTGCAATCGCACTTGTACTCCCCGGTCAGTTGAACAGGCATAGGAAAAGAAGGCCGGCAGTTAAAATAGGAATGATTTCACTATTTCCAGAAAAGAAGACAGTTGAGATATCACTTGGCTTTCATTGACTTCAATTGCCTACGTGTTTCCTTTGCGGCTGTCCTTTCTTTAGGCCCTGACCTGAGGCGGCAATCATTGCGCCTGTATTTACCTACCATGACGAGTTATGTCATCGGTACCGATGCTTACCTCTGCGTAAGCTGCATTTCATCCTCCGCTGAAGCAGTTCGGTCGCCAACCGGACAGGCCTCCGCTATATGTTTCAGGAACATTTCCCATGCCTGAGGCAGGTTGCCCGCCTTCACGCCATACCACAGGGGGTACTGGGCTTCGTCTATATGGTCCCAGATGTTCCTTCCACGGATGGGGCCGTGTTCACGCAGTTTTCTCTTCAGCCTACTCCAGTAGGCTTCGATTGAGTTGGTATGTTTTTTGCTGGTGGGATCCACAAAATTAACGGAGTGATTGACCGTTAGATGCCGATATCCTTCTTTCTCCAGACGCGTGTAGCCCTTCCATTCTTCAGTAACTATTACACTTCCCGGCGCAATCCACTTCTTAATGTCAGCCCTTAACGACGGCCAGCTTCGATCGTTGACCTACTCGAAAAGGGCTTTCTGCTTGGATGAATCGTACATGCCTACGGTTGAGTAATAATACGCTGCTCACTTACCTATAATCCAATTCTCGTTTTTGAGTCGCCCGAAATTATATTTACGCCGCGGAATCATCGTTACGTCAACTTGGACTTCGATGTCGGGGCCTCCGAGTTGACTGACCTCCCGCAGGAGCGCCTTTGTGCATGCATCCCGCCACACACCATACCATTCCACTGCCGTCTTGTTACTTATGCCCACAGCGGTTGCACATCTTATCACACCAGTGCCTTCAATGAAAGCAAGGCAGGTTTTCATGGCCTTGGGTAGTGACAAGTGCTTCCCCTCAAAAACCGAGCCCACTCTTAGTGCTTTCTTATCACGACAGCGGGCGCATCTTAGGTCTGCATACCACAGCACACAGTCTTTACCTGAAGGCATAACCGTCAGTGTGCTGGCGTAGTATTTGTAACGGCATGACCTTCCTACATCTACATGAGGCCCTACACTTCAGTAGTCCTTTCCGTTGGAGATACTGCACCAGGTTAGTCGACTGAATTATTTCAAGGTTCCGCGAATATTCTGTAGGCATATCCACTTGCGGTCCTGCTTTCCTGCTAATTCCTTTTAACAGTGTATAATACACCATTCATTTATAGCGCACAACTAATGCAATGGTTTTATTCCTAAATGCTGAAACAGTGGCCATAAGCAACTATTGGCGCATTTTTTTTCAGCCCAAACGTATTTTACGCATTAAAGTCTTACCCCGATTGCGTTACGCCATCCTGTATGCCACTGCTTAGCTCGCGTGCTTTCATGTCCATTCCGTTGGTTAGCGTACTCTCGCACATACTGCGGATTGGCCTTAGGACACACCACCTTATTCCTATTGGCTGTTGGCGTTCACTTGCGATTCTTTCCAATCTGGGGCAAGGATGCATTTATTCCGCATACCGTACAAATTATCCATGCTCATTTCTATACCCTATTTGCATTTTTCACCTTATTTAAATTTGTCTTCCACCTTTCCGGGAACACCATTTTCTGCGATACACCTACGGCGCCATTTACGCCTCCACTCATTTACCCCACCCGTATAGCCCCTATTAACACCGGTCCCGTAAGACAGGTTGCTGGGGGTTTTAGGTACCAGGTCGGCTACCAACTACCATCTAACCCGAAAATCTGCCAGCGGCAAATTAAAACGCCTCCTTAGAGACTCGATGGTGTCAGCAACAAGACCATGTTCATTTGACCGCCCTGCATGTCCTCGGCCACGTACGTCACCAGCACAAGGACTGAGTCAACGATAACGACGCAGTCATTAGTAACCTGCTCGCCGAGAGGAATGGGTTGCACAGAGCCTACCTCCACTCTCAAATCGATGTGAACAAAGCGGCCTTCCAGCAATGTCCCCGTCTTGCGCAGAAACGGTTGCGAGAAATGTAGGAAGCCTGCATGGCTCGCAAGGCCAAGGAGACCCAGGGTTACGCTGATGGCAACAAATCAAAGAACTTCTTCGCTGCGATCAAGGCAATCTACTGCCCCAGACCAAAGGAGCTCGCTGCTTCTCAGCTCTGCCGGATCAACGTTTCTGATCTAGAAGTCACAGATTCTGAAGCGCTAGGCTGAGCTCTTCAGAAATGTCTCCAGCCGTTCCTTCGCAATCTCCGACATTGCTATCGACCGGCTCCCCCAAGTTGAAACCAACGTCGACCTGGATCTCCTGTTCCACCTCCTCTCAGAAGCCATGCGTGCTTTGTAACAACTTTCCAGTGGGAAGACACCAAGCTCCAATGCGATCGCCGCCAAAATCTACAAGCACGGCGGCCACCACATGATGGACCAGCTCACGACGCTGTTTCAGGAGGTATGGCGCTGTGGACGAATTCCTCAGAATTTCAAGGATACAACCATCTCTTGCCTCTAAAAGCGCGAAGGAAATCAAAAGCCCTATGACAATCACAGCAGAGACTTGCTACTCAACGTCGCCGGGATGCTCGTCGCCCGCATCCTCCTCAATCGCCTCAGCAGGGATTCCTGCCGGAAAGCCAATATGGCTTCCGGGGACACCGAAGTACGACCGCCGACAAGGGAGACAAAATCGACGCTACAAGGACACTTTTAAAGACCGCCTGAAGCGGTTGCGGGTCAACCCGAGGACATGGGAAGACCTCGCCCAGCACAGAACGGCACGACGAAGGGAAGTGAAGACCAGCGCCGCCATATTCGAAACAAATCGGAGTACCGCCACCAAAGCCCAAAGGCAGGCTCTTAAGTCACAAGCGCCTCGCCTCCTTAATGCCAAATGTTAATCGCTGACGGCATGAACGTGCTGCGAACGCTCATTCTGTGCCCGAATCAGTCTCGTGGGAAACCTTCGGACAGAGTGTGAGAAAAACCCGACAACGTTCACTTCCCCCTCTCTGGCCCGTGACGCAAACCCCAGACGACGACCATCCCCATCACTACCGATCACGCTAACGCTGTCCCGCCGGCATTAACCACCGACACCGCCCGCCGTGTCCCAACCGTTGTGTCAATCACAGTGAACAGCAGCAGCAGCAGCAGCAGCAGCAGCAGCAGCAGCAGCAGCAGCAGCAGCAGCAGCAGCAGCAGCAGCCGCAGCAGCAGCAGCAGCAGCAACAGCAGCAGCAGCAGCAGCAGCAGCAGTACCACCACCACCACCACCGCCGCCACCACCACCACCACCACCACGATATCACGCACTCTCCCACCGCAGAGATGACATCTGATCTCTCATCAGATTCAACCACCAACTGCTCCGTCCCCAGTGATTTGGACTCAGCTCATATCTGTCCTCATTGTGATCAAAAATTCACCTTACACAACGGCTGGTCGGTCACTGGCGAATCCATCGCACGGGGACTGACAAAACAGTGCCTGGAGCACTAACCTACACTCCCCTCATCCGCCTGCACTATCCGCATTGCCCCGCATATTCACTCGCCACATGGGCTTGCTAGGTCAGATGCGTATTCACCAAAACCCGCGTGGACAAACACCGGTTGCACCACACCATCACACATTCCCCACCTGCACATGAACCAAAAACAACATCGCCCATCACGATGCGACGTCAGGACTAAACTGGCACCTCCCACGCAAGTGTAAAGCGGGCTTCTCGGCTCTTCTGCCACATGTGTGTTCCGAGTCCGAGACTATCACGGTGCGTCAAGTACCGTGGCTTGGAAGGCTGACAAATGACGCTTAAAGTCAGTCCACGCGATCTGCCCAGTTGAGCGCGTTTAAGTGAAATGGCAGACTGATGGGCTGAGAGCTACGCCACCATGACTTCTTCTTAGCATAACCTCTGACACTCTCACGCATGTGTGGAGTGTATGTGCATGTGGGTAGTGTCTCTTACTCAAAGGATGACTGGTCACCCTGCCTTTGAGGGGTGTTGGCCCAGGCCCAGTGCAGAGGTACGTGTCACCCTTCTGGACCTTTTGGTCTGTACGCGTCAGCAAACTGTGTCCCCTGCAGCATGGTGTGAGCCAGCATTTCTCTAGCACCTGGTTCCCCGCTAGCAGATGTGCTTGCGCTCCGGCCAGCTGTACAGGTAGTGAGAATGGCTGTCCAGTTATCCCTGTCTTTCTGACACCTTGCTGTGCTGTTATTGAGCAAAACACCGGTTGAGTGTTTGTTGTGGACCAGAGGGTAAGTGGTGCGTCTAAGAGCGGGTCCGGCCGTGCCATCCACCGGCGCCCTCCCTCGCCTCCGGTGTTTTTTATTCTGTCTTGACACTGGGCCTAAGTGGGGAGGGGAGAGTGTGCCAAATGCTGCGCAAGTCTATTCTCACTACTGACTAATTCACACCCAAGTCACCGTGTCTGCTTTCACTCTGCTGTGGAACACACGCGGACATCGTTGGTAACGACGGTTGGACTGTCATTGCTTA